CAGCCATATACATTTGATATATAAACAGATAGATAGGTAGGTAGGTAGGTAGGTAGGTAGGTAAATAAATAATGCTAGCCTTCCTACTGGCTTTATCAGCAGAAAAGCAACAGACTGGTGTGTAATGTGGGTGAGGATTATGACTGTTCCAAACAATATAAAAAATGTAGCGGTAGACTTTTGTGATCTTCAGATTAGAATTACTGAACTATTCCTTACTGCTGGAATGCAGTAAAGGAGATGGTGAAGATATGTGTACATTCCTTCATTAAGGAAGCATATGAACGAAGTCTTAGACTGCATATGTGCAAATGATGGTATAGTTTGTGCTCTTGCTTAGAACCTGTGCTATATTTTAAAACCTGTATGAGGACACATTTTATTCCTCATTAGAAATCAACTCCGTTGAATTAATGTAATTTTCTCATGACCTTTTATCCCCAGGATTCCTAATCAACTGTCTCAGCTGATTAATCTTCCTCTGTATACTATAAATTACTCTTCAAACCTTCTTCTTAAAAATTCTGTGTAATTCTTAATTAGTTGTAAAGCATTTGAGATTTTGACTTTTTTTTTTTTAATTCCCCAAACTGGAGACCAGATTTAGCTGAATACAAATGATATCAGTCCTGTGATTCCTTAGTATAAAAAATATTCTGATTATTTTTTAATTTTAGATAATATACTGTATTAATCCTCTGAACCTGAAGATGACATATTGATGATTTATTTTTTCTCATAGGAAAATATAAGTTGAAACTGAAAACTTCTGCCCAACCAATTCAGATGGTGATAGTAACTTGACTCTTCACAAAGAATAAAGTTAAGTCTGCTGCAAGCATTTCCTAAAGACCAAATCAATGAATACATTTAGCATAATAGTCAATACGAAGATGTGAGAGTTCCAGTGATATTTCTATTATTAGATATGAAAATCTCCCTGAGCTCTCAGTTTTGGAATCCTTCATTGTAGTTTCTGGTAATCCTCCTCTCTGTTGTTCCTACGTAATCTTCTCCAGTAGATTAAGAAAGCTTTTCCAAAGAAGCTGTAAATGCAGAGCTGTGTTCTCATAAAAATTCTAGAAAGGCATTCAAATGTTGGCTTAGCATGATGAACAATATATCTGGTGTATCTGACAAAGACCCATTGGTATGAATATTTCTTCTTAATATAGCATGTGGATGATTTTGGGTGAATGTTTTCTTGGGCACATACAAAAAAAAAAAAAGTAGAAGAGAAGAGAAAAGGAAAGAAAAGAAAAGAAAAGAAAAGAAAAGAAAAGAAAAAAGAAAAGGGAAAGAATCTACTATAGATATTTATGCCCGTAGACTGCATTTCACCTTAAGTGTTCTGTGCATGTGGGAGTGAGCATATGAGCACAAGGAGATATCCCATGTTTCAACTTAATAGTTGGCTGGATTGGGCTGAAGACCCATCTAGCCAAGCATCCTTTCTCTCATAATGACTATCAGAATGCTCTACGAAGCCCGCAAAGAGGACATGGTGAATTAATTCTTTTCTCACTGTTATTGAAAAGCACACTTTTGTGACCCTGAGGACAACATGTATCTCCTAATATGCAGCCTGTTCATACAAGTAATGGATTAACTGAGCTTCTGTCCTTCAAAGGAGAATAACTTGGACATTCTAGCAACTGCTGAAAAAAAACAAAGGAACAACTTCACTGATGTCTTCCTCCTCCTCCTCTTCCTGTTGTTTACTTGAAAAAGATTTCACCGTATCTCTCCTGAGTCCCTCTGATAGCCCCTGTAAAAAGCAATGTACTATTTGTATGACTGTACTATTAGATGTTCTTTTCTGTGGGAAAGGACTGGTTTTGAGCCCTGGCTTACAAAGCAAGAAGAGGAGTAGGGTATTTAAGCAAAAGGTAGAAGTTGTAAAAGGTGAGGAAAAATATAACTAAGGGTAGTAATGAGACTGTTCTGATCATTAGAGTATTAGAAGGATGTTAATAGTAATTCTCTTGGACGTGTGATGGTGGCCTTATTAAAACAGAATCTGTGCAGAGAAGGTTCTTCTATGATTGCAGAGAAGACGTGAAGGTTCAACAGAACTTGCTTAATAAAAAGACCTAAGGGATCCAAAGGGACAGGTTAAATGTGTATAGAAGACATAGAAGATGGGCTGACATATGCAGTCTTGCCTTAATAAATAAATTAGCCCTAATGTGCTCTTCAGATCACTGGAAGAGGGCTAGTGAGTTACAGAAACAATCATGTTCACATCCTTATTCATATTTGGAAATGCATCTGACAAAAGCATTGATGCTCCTCATACTTTAAGATTTGTCTTTTTAATTTCAGTTTTAAATAAAGGACACTGGAGATTGTGCTCTCTAAATTAATTTCCTTCTAAACGAAATGACATTTCCTATCTTACTTTTGATCACAGTGTCAAAGGAAATGATCCTTAGAAAAATCTAATGATTGACATTAGCAAGTCTTTTTTTTTTTTTTTTTTCCCCCCAAA